CATTTGATAAAAACGGTTCATCCCAGTTTCCTTCTCTTCTTGCATGTGACTATACTACCTACAGGCACAGTGTGGTCACACGCTTTGGTCATTGATCCGGGAAAGCAACAATGGCAACTGCTCAGATCCGTTTAAAAATGTAAAAAGATAAAAGGAGCCAGAGAATGACAGCTGCCAGTGGCAAGATTCCGCAGACGGTGCAATAACCAGCCCGCTATTGCAATTTGAAATGGCCAATAGCAGGCTGGCTATTGCACCTGCCCACTGCTTGCTGTGCCCTCCTCCCAGCATGAAGGAGAGAGAAAAGGGATCCAACCAACTAATCGATAATGACTATAGTTGATGACTATTAATTGATTAGTGGGTTGCAGCCCTTAATGCAGTTGCACTGCTTGTGTATCCCCCTTTCTGCTAGTATTAAATTGATTCGAGTGGTTGCCATTGCTGCTTTTGCTGGATTTGGTGAAGACTTGCCCACTGCCCCAAGCAAAACCATCTTGAAGAGATCACGTGACCGCTCTAAAATGGATAATTTTACAGCATTCCTTAAATGTTTACTTGAACATCTGGATTGGTGCTGCATTACAAACACTTTAGGTTTGCTAACGTGGCATTTCAGTCTATATTATTGTCCTTGTGTCATTATGTAAATTGTCATTTTAGTATGCCTTAGTTATAGTTACCCTAAAAGGTGTTTGGGTCGTCTGCGTATGCCCTGCTTTGAAGTGACGTGTATTAGAACAGTAGTCTTATCAGAATGTCCTTAGTAGTACTGCTTATTAAGATTTCAATGTGCAGACCTCTAGGTGGTCTAAAAATGAGGGCAGACAAAACTGTAGAATGGTATAGGAATACTATGTAAAAATTACCATTAAAACAAAGCTCCTATCTTTTATCCATTAAGAAATGTCAAGAAATATTTATTTTGTTGTTGTAGAGAGCAGAGGAAGAAAGGACAAAGACAGAGAGAGAGATGATAGAGATCAGGACCGGGAGCCAAGCAGTTCTAGAGAGCACAGAGATGATAGAGAATCTCGCGATGGTCGTGATCGTAGAGACTTGAGAGACAATCGTGATCGAAGAGAAACAAGGGACACCAGAGAAGGCCGTGACACCAGAGATAGCCGGGACTACAGAGATAGTAAAGAAAGCCGTGAGCAGAAAGACTCTCGGTCAGCCCGTGACGCACATGATTACAGAGAGAGGGATAATCGTGACTCGCACCGAAAGGATGATCAGTATGAAGATCGCAGTTACAGAAGAAGCCATGGGAGAGAAGATGCTTCCCGAACGGAAACTCGAAACGAGAGCAGAAATGATTCTAGAAGTGATGCCAGAAATGACCGCAATGGGCGCTCAAGAGTACGCGCTCCTGACCCTCCGGAAAAAGGTAGCTTTTTTAATCTTTCTTTCCTCCACTCGTATTCTAGTATTTTCCTTCAGTAACATTTTATTTCACATTCACGTGCTTGTTCTTTCATATTATTGTACTAAATAAAGCAGTTTGTAGTTTAGCTGCTAGTTTGAGCAGACTCCCTATGTGGAATCTCCCTGCCTCCCTTCAGCATCATGAGCATGCATGCCTATAGAATTCTACTTAAAAATGACCATTCGATCGTACTTGCCTATCCAATCAACAACCAGTTAAGGCAGAACTCTGGGCATAAATAGCCCCACTGCATGGGTCTGGTGCTTGTTTTATTCTAGGGACAAAAAGGAAAAGATATATTTACCTGAACCTTGGAGAAGGCTGGCTGGTACACCAGACCCTGCAGCTTCACTCCCCCTTCTGCTCCAGTGATGGAATGTCCTTCGGCGTCCTCACATCCTATAGGGCCTTAGACCGCCTGAGCAGAGGAGGAGAGAGGGGGCACGGACTGGTCTAGTAGCCAGCTGGCTTTAAGGTTCAGATGAGTGTAACTTTATTTTATTTTTTTATCCCTAGAGGGAAACGAGCACCTAATCCTTGCAGTGCAGGGGTAGCCCCATTGTAGGGGTTTAAGAATATTTATTAGAGGTGCACCGACACCGGTATTTCGGTATCGAGTACCGGAAGTCCCACTCGGGAAGCCAGGCGGCGTGTAATGACTCGCCACCTGGCTTCCCGATTAGCAGGGAAGCCGTCGCTAGGCAAGGAGGAAGCAGGGGGGCTCTGTCTAATGACGCGCTGCCAGGCTTCCTGATAACGGAAGTTTCGGGCTAGGCATCGGAGCATTCGGGGCGAGTATGAGTGCTCGTCCAAATTCTTGGTATCGGCCCCGATGATAGGATCGGTGCATCCCTAATATTTATGCCTCTGGACTAATTCCTAACCTAGCTAAACTATCAACAAATACAGCTAGCCAGCACTTTAAATGTAACAATACATTAAAAAAATACATAAATTCTATTAAGTAAACATCTTTTAAGTGCAGCGCTAAATAAATAATCCAGCGATGAAGGGACCGGGTAGGTTCTGAAACTTTGCTGCGCATGGTGATATGACCCGCTAGAATGAAGAAAAGGATTTCATATTGAAGAAAACTTGGGAGTGCTGGTGACCATTTATTCGGGTGTTTGAGTACCTGGTGGTGCCATCCACGGCCACTTCAGCACCAATCGCCACCACCACGCAATGTATGGGACTTCTCGGTCAGGAGTGCGGTGGGACTCCCTATTGGACCAGATGAGAAGTCATCACTCTAGGTTTTCTTTAGGTTCTTTGCTGTTATGATAATGTTAATGGGTTTTGAACTAATCTATTTCTCAGTAAACAGTTTCCCAAAAATTTTAGGAATATAAAATATCAACAATATCAGTGGCTCCAGTTGTCAGTAAAATGACAACAATCTATCTAAGGCCCGGTTCACACCTGAGCGTTTTACCGCGCGTTCCTACGCTCGGTAAACGCGCAACAGGTGAAAACCCATGTTTGCCTATGGGCATGGTTCTCACCTGCGCGTTTTACCGTGTGGTAAAACGCCATACACCCAAAGTAGTACAGGAGCTTCTTTGGGGCGTATTAACGCTGCATCCATCAGTATACAGCCGGATACACCCTCGGAAACTCGCGTTTGCTGTGTGTTTCTTTTACCGCAAATCGCGTTAAAACCGAGTTTCCAATACGCCAAGGTGTGAAGCCAGCGTAAAAATGTTTCACACTGGATAACATTCCCTTCAATAAAAACAGGTACCTGAATTCTTTAGAGTTGGAGGTGCTATGCACCTGGTAAGGTTTGAAATGCAAATAGACTTCGTGATGTTTACTAATACTGAATTTAATAATACCGTCAAGTACAATTATTCTCTTTGTATCAATAAAACATCAAACAATGTAAACCATATTGGTTACAGAAACTCAGTTTGATAATTAATTCTAACACTCCAATAGCACAAATGCAACATATTAGCCAGTTATTTAACTACAATCATGTAGCAACTTTCTGAGATTAACCGCCTACACCACTTGCATCTATTCATTAATAGGTAAAACAGTGGCGAGAATCGTATTGAGGAGACAAGTGAAGGACTAGAAACTAGGGCTGGTAATGATTAAAATTTTCGTGTTCGATTAATCGAAATGTTTTTTAATCGATTAATTTCGATGAATTATAATGCACATACAGATCCTACTACAATGGCCTATACACATTCAGCACAGTAATTAAGTAATAAAATGTACTAGAATCACACTAATCAAGCACGTTATTAATCTCACGTGCCCCACTCAATACGGTAAGTATTAGCTTAATATTTGAAGTAGCAGCACCTGTCCATTCCATTTCATGTAAGGACCTGATTGCAACATGATATCAGTAAATTTCAATGGGCACATTTCTGGGAGCGAGATGGGGGGGACAGGAGGGGGGGGTTAATGGAGAGCCACATAGTGCATATATACAAGTTTAATATAAGACAGAAGCTTGGTGCTTCTTGTGCAGACTCACTGGCCCAAGTGGCTCCGTCGGCTAACGAAGGGAAGAGGAGTCCGGTGACGTCACGGACATCGACGCCACCGGACTCCCCCCCCTTCTTCTCCGACGGGACTCCCGAAAGCCGGCGGAGAGGTGAGTCTTTTCATTTTCAAAAGAATTTTAATCGATCAAAAAGTTTAACGATTAATCGAGGAATTAATCGTTAATATTCCCCAGCCCTACTAGAAACGAATGAACAAAGTAACCCTGTCCAAATCTACTCCTGCAGGAAGAAGTTAAGGACTGGCATTATGCTAACATTAAGCTTCAATGGAAACAGTTCTTCACTTAGCTCCTTTTAAATTAAATGGGCATTCAAGGAAAAACTATATGACAATATATATTTTAGTAGGGAAAATGATACATTACCACCACATTTCAAAGTTAAAGGAGAACTATGGGGTCAGTGTTTTTCCCCATAGTTCTCCTTGGGGTAACGGGAGGACACAAACTAGCGTCCTCCCGTCACCCTAAGCTCAGTATACCGTGAGCTACAGCTCGCGGTATACTGAGACACCGCACCTGGAGCGGATCCCGACTTAGATGACGGGATCCGCCCAGCTGCGTGAGTGACAGCTGGCTCTGCCTATCTAGAGGCAGAGCCAGCTGTACCCGCCCCCTCCCCCGTCCGTTCCGCCAGTCAGCGCTGGCAGAGCGGGGAGAGGGGAATTCAGCCCCTCCCCCTGTCACGGCAGAGAGCCGTGACAGGATCGAGAGGTGAGGGAGCCCGGTATGTTTTCCCTCACCTCCCGATCTACTGAGCCGACCTGTGACAGTCTCATTGTCACAGGTGGGCTTAGAACTATGACGTGAGTGGAAATCACTCATGTCATAGTTCTCCTTTAAGCACAGATTTGATACTTCTAGGCTTTGTGGTCTGATGGAGGATTAATGGTACAAGCAGCATCCCCTCCATCTGGAGAGATAGGAACCTCTCTTCATTTCTACGTGACAATTTAATAATAAAGATTATAACCCTTATTTTAATTATTGAATCTCTGGCGGTGGTAAGTTGCTTGATTCATGACAATTCATTAAACGTATCAACAAAAGAACTTGTAGTATGATACAAAATAAACAACCTTCCTATAAGACAATTTTTCTAGATTTGAAGACATATATCTAGATATTTGGTTATTTTAGGTGGTTAATTGATATAATAAATTCTGTATAAGATAAAATATATTTTAATTCAACCTTTTGACCCTGTTTTTCTTAAGATTTCTACCAGGTCAGTTTTTAGGACATCTGTCCAAATCATGTCCTTTATTTAAGCAAAACTCAAACTAGTGTGTTCAATTACAATTTAGACAAAGACATTAGTCCAAGGTCTGTGGGCCTTGTGAACAACCTGTTTACTTCTCAGAGACCTATACCTAAGTTGCAATAGTCCCAAGAGTAAATGACAAACATCTCGGATGTGTTCCATTGTCTTCTGTCAAGCTAGTGTACACACTTATTTGGTTTTCTCGTAATGTTTCACACAAGTTCCTTTTAAGTTTGAGATACTTTGGTGACATGATCTCTTTAATTTCATATACATTTTATATCAAAAGTTCTGACATTGCTTCTGTTAGAGGTGATTTGTCTGGACCCTGAGTTATGTAGCAGAGTTGAATTGGTGATATTAAACAATTATCTTCCTTTTTTTTTGTTTCTCTTTTAAAAAAAAAAAAAAACTTCAAGTAAGGGAACTGCATTATGATTTTAGCACTGTCAAAGTACCCAACATTTGTGAGTTCTGACATTGTATACTGCAGTTCTGAGAATTACTGTATTCATGTAATGTTCTTTATAGTCTATATTCATGACAGCTGATCTTGTGTTTTTTTTTTATTAGCTGGTCGTGGAGCAAGAGCCTCCCAGGTTGATAACCACAGTAGCAGCAGTTACCATGACAACTGGGAGTCCAGGAGTAGTTATGCAGATAGAGAACGATATGACAACCGGGAGCAGGGGAGAGATTCTTCATTTGATCGTAGACATGGAGATCGAGATCGTCGAGACAGAGATAGAGGTAAGAACGCTAGTATAAATACTTTCTTTATCGTTTATTAAGGGACACAGGATTAGTAGTTCTGATATTAATGAGTTATACTGCTGCTTTCAGACACTGGCAAAAATAAGTTAAGGCTAGTCCAGTGTGCTAGCCTTAATATGCTTACCAGATATTCCCATTATGAGATACCTAGACGACCTTCTATTGTGGAAACCAACAACTCAAACTCTGACAATCAATGTGATGCCACAATCAATGACATAGCAGACGATGAATCCTGAACCCCCCAGGTGGAACCAACAAATCGCTTGGAGAAAACTGCTCTCCAGATGCAGACATCCTCAGGCAGAAGTAGTGGATACCCGGTAACTTTGTGGTACCAGTATAGCCTGATCTGTGCTTTTCCTCCTTTCTCATCTACGCTGCAGGATTGAGATGGGGAGTGCATTCCAGGCAAACTTGGCTCTGGACTAGCCTATATGGATGTGGTACTCCGACCTGATCAAACTTCTGGCAGACACCCCTTGGGCTCTTACTGATCAACCAGCTCTCCTATATCAAAGTCCAGTTTACCACCTTGCTCCATGGTCTCTGACTTTTAACAGCATGGCTGTCGAAGGTCAGGGCTGGCATCCTTACTATGTAATGGACACATTTTCACAAGGGTAAGGTATTAAGACCTAGAACCACCTCTGATTCTACCTAAAGCAGTTGGGCCTTTCACCTCAAAATGGACTTGTTCTTCTATCTCTGTCTGCCTACATTTTCATCAGGAGAAAACACCTTTCATTGCATAGATGTAGTTTGTGCTGTAGGGGGTTTACCATTCCTGATTGTACCGGTAAAAGGAACTAGCCTTTTGTTCCACTATATCTCAGTGGCTCAGATACATCATTGCCTTTTAAGACCTTAAGGTTAAACAAACTTCCACCTTTTCCTGTTAAGGCCCACTTTCCTAGGTCTGTGAGTGCCTCTTCTGTTATTAGGCGTCATTCAACTTCTCAGATTTGCAAGGCTGAGACCTGGTCTTCTGTTCACATGTTCCCGAAGTCTTACGAGTTGATGTTCATGCCTCATCTGATGCCAGGTTCATGCATTAAATCTTTCAAGTAGCTGGTGAGGTGCAGGCTGTCCTTATTTACACTCCACTTTTAAATTATGTGGGCTTGTTGGTGTTTTGTTTGCTGTGTTTCTCAGCTCTGTTGGGCTGCGAAAGTTCCATAATAACTACTATCCTGTGCCCCTTAAATAACAATAAAGAAAAAACATTTTCTCTATTGTCCATTGAGAGACCCAACTCTAATAATTCTGAGACGTAGGGTTATGCTCCTGCCTCCAGGAGAAATGGACACTAGGCAAAAAAAATAAAAGCCTGCCCCTTTAAGGACATAACCCTTCCCACCTCACACCTGCCAGTTTTGCTTAGTGTCCTCAGGAGAATGAATGTCTCCTTTTACTTTTATTATTTGTTTATTTCGTTTCTTTGTTAAAGGTTCTACTACCAAGAGCTGCTAGTTGATTCATACCAGATATTATTAAATACTAGGAGTCTCTCCAGCTAGCTGACAAAACTGAGAGATTCATATAAGTTAGAGAACTAAGGGGTAACCTTTTTATCTCATAGTTCTCAAGGGTCACGGGAGGACATATACTAACCTCCTCCCGTGACCCAAAGCTCAGTATACACTGAGTGGCCAGATTATTATGACCACCCCATCAGTACTTCGTTGGGCCACGAGATGACTCCATGAGATGAAGTTGTTGGGCCGCCTCGTGACTCCACAAGATGTTGAAAGGTGATGCGAGGAATCTGACACTGCACTGTTGCCCTTCTGTTGTCTTGTACCAGTCTTGCCACTCTCCGTTCTGCCCTAACATTGACTAGTCGCTGACGGCCACAATTCGCACGTTGAGACCCAGATTTTCAGCTGACAGTCCAGTCTTTAAACACTTTAACAACAGATGCTCTTGAACATTTAACAAATTCTGCTGTTTTGCTGTTACTCGCTCCATGGCTCCGAGCGCCAACAATCATCCCACGTTCAAAGGCTGTTAAATCGCGTTGTTTACCCATATCTTCAGAAAAAAATCACTTCTACTGGTAAACTACCTGCTTCCCTTTTTATAATGGTCTGGCCCTCTAGCAACTTCAGCGAGAAATTATAGCTAATTTGCCTACAAACGTCAGGTGGTCATTATAAACTGGCCACTCAGTGTATAGCCAGCTACAGCTGGCTATATACTGAAAACGCCGCAGCCGGGACGGATCCCAACAATGCTGTCGATATCCACTTAGGCAGAGCCTGCTGTTAATCAGCTAGCTATCTAGGCAGAGTCAACTGTGCCTGCCCCCTCTCCCTTCCGTTCCTCCAGTCAGCGCTGGAGGATTGGGGAGGGGGGAATCTCTGCGGGGAGCAGTGACGAATGGTCACGGCTCTTTGCAGGGAAAAGATGGGCAAGTGAGCCACGACGCTATGTGTTTGCTCACTTTGCGATCTATAGAGCCGACGTGCGACAGTTTCAATGTTCTCGAACTATGAGGAGTGAAAAACGCTCACCTCATAGCTCTCCTTTTTAAATACTGGAATTTTGTCTAGTTGTCTTGAAGCAGGTTGTTTCTGGTCTCGCTACGTATGCTTCTTCCTGCGATGGTCCTGTGTTCCTGTTTTTCATCTGTAGTCAGGCCAGTATTATCAAGGGATTCTTATGTCAGGAACAGGGCCATGGAGTCAAGAGTAGTAAATGTTTTTACATAAAGTTTATAATGTTGCAAATTTTGCCTTTTTTTATTTTACTTTTGGCTGTGTGCTTTTTGACTCCTGTTTGGTTAATACTTTTATATGGAGTTTGACTGATTTTTATGTCAATTTCCTGTTGTCTCTTTAAGAGGCTGGGTCTTCGATTTGATGAAGCGCTTGTTTTTAATCTCCTGTGCCAGCATACGTAGTCCATTTTTCTGGTTTCTATCAATGGTGAACGTGGATGGAGCGGTTTCGGCTTGGCTTCCTTTTGGAGAGACCAGAAATTTCCTGTTTTATACTATTACACAGCCATTCTTCAAATATTCTGTCTGCAGCAGGTGGTTGCAGTACCTCATATATTTTTTCCTCACACCAGTCAGGGCCGTGAATTTTATAGTGTGTGAATCTGTCTGAGACAGAATTGTCAGAACAGACTTCCATTTAGTAGGGCACTGTGTTAAAGTACTTTTTTCCTTGCCTACACTGTGTCCTATTGCTGTTTTTATTCAGAAAATTGTGACATTTGTGATTTTTCCATTGGTGTCACTGATGTTTCTGGTTCTTCTAGTAGTCACAAGTGGCCTGTATTGTCAAGGCCTAAACTGAGGTGTTGCTATGGTGACACCTGTGCTTGTTATGCGTCGTGTATAAGTTGGCACAGCGGTAGATCTCCTCTTTAGTTCTGCTCACGCTTACTGGGAAAAACTGATTTTTGTAGTTTTCTCATTAAAGAGCAGCAGTCAGAGATTGGTTACATTGTATGAGCCCCAGGCGCCATTCTTTCCTTCCTTCTTTGATTAAGGAACATAGCACAGATTCGGCTCGTGAATACAATACACCTAAGGTATGTTTGTCATACCATATCATTGATGCCATAACTGGGCTGTGACAGATTTACTCAGCATCGGAAAGTAACGGTTGCCTTCTTAATTCAAACCATGTTTCTCTTTTAAAATTAGAGGATTCTGCTGTTATTTCTACTCCTGCAATTTCTAGTTTAGGGTCACATAAACCTGAGTGTGTCTGCAAGGTTTTTCCACTCATCCTATTCTTGATAGGTTTTAATATGAAGTTTGTGAAATTCCAGAAGGGCAGTTTTTTTCTGGTTCCTGGATACTGCAAATCCCTGTAAAAAAGCACCTCAACCATTATCAACTATGGTCCTTATGACTTTGGCTACTTGGACAAAATCTTTATGTACAGAACAGGTGACTGCTGTGAGACAACAGCTTTCTCCCCTCATTTCCTTACATACAACTGGCAGGTGGTGAGGTAAGTGGGGTTAAGTCCTTTTTGAAGTAGTAGGCTTTTCATTTTTGTTTGCCTTGTATCTATTTCTCCTGGAGGCAGCAGCAGTAACCCTACGTATCAGAATTCTTCAGAGCTGTGTCCCTCAGTGGACTCTGAGAAAAGGAGTTTACGGTAAGAACAAAATCCTATTTGTTTTCAACTGGCAACTTTAATAGGAGCAGTCAATAATTAGTCACATAAACTGCTGCAAGCAGTCTTTTAAAGTACATTTCTTTTTTTATATCTCTATTTTTTTTTTCATATAAGACACAATTACAAACAACAAAAGAAATCCATAATAAAAAATAAAACCTGAAACCTAAATTTCAATATTTTTTTTGATTGACAGATCAAAGACCAACGTCTCCAGCACCTCACAGAGGAAGGAATGATGAGGAGCGTGAAGAAAGAAGAGATGAGCGTAGGGTTGACCGAACAGATGAAAGGAGGGATGACCGAACTAGAGAGCGTGAGCGAGAAAGGGAGAGGGAGCGTGAGAGGGAACAGAGAGAAAGGGAAAGAGAAAAAGAGCGGGAGTCTGAGCGTGAGAGAGTTCGTGAGCGTGAGAGAGAAAAAGAGAGAGAACGTGAAAGAGAACGAGAAGAGCGTGAAAGAGAGAGAGAGCGCGAAAGGGAGCGTGAAAGAGAACGGGACAGAGAGCGTGAACGAGAGAGAGAGCGTGAACGAGAGAGAGAACGAGAGAGAGGCAGAGAACGAGAAAGAGAGCGTCCAAGAGACTGGGATGAAAAGGAGAAAGGAAGAGAAGATCGCAGAGAGAAAAGGGACGATGTACGGGAAGAAAGAAATCCGAAAGATATACATGAAGATAGGAAAACCAAGTAAGTGTCATGCTTTATGTATATTAATCTAATAGGGAAGAGACTGGGTTATGTGACCGTGCCCCTGCCGCCCTCTACAATTCCTGCAGTCTTTAACCAGTTCAGCTCTTCCACCTGTATTCCAAAAGCAATTTTTACATTTCAGTTGAGTTCCTATTGATTCGGCAATAATACTATTGTTATTTAACATGGTGACGTAATATATTGTCCTTTTTTTCATCATTAGTCTTTCCAGAACAGCATGAGAGATCATGACTCCACCCCCAGAGACAAGAAACACAAACATCACATGGACTTTCCTTGGGACACAGACACGGGCTTTCCCAAGGATAGTTCATCTGTATTTGTGTTTTCTTCTCTGAAAGGACACATTCTCTGGGATCTCTGGTGTTATGGGTGGGGAAGCCTGTTTTCTCATGCGTCCAAGATTCAGGGGAATCCAGGACGTCCCCTAGATTCCCCTGAATCTAGGGGGGGTGGGGGGTTAAGTTCTGTGGAACACAGAAAAAGACTTCCATCCCTTGTAGGGGAATTAAAACTGGATGCTTGACTTCTAAGCTCCTGAAGAGTAATAAGCTCCTGAAGAGTTAAGCCCCATTCACACTGCGCGATTCGCAAATCGTGCGATTTGCATTTTGCGCGATATCGCGCAAATGCTTGCATTGAGCAAGCTAGAATCGCGGCAAAATCCGCTCCAAAAAGGGTCCTGCTGTAGCGACGCACGACCCGAGACAGCAGGGCCCTTTGTCCCATTGCCAAGCATTGGAGAGCGATATCGCGCGGTAAATAGCCGCGATATCGCGGGAATTACCGCGCGATAAATCGCTCAGTGTGAACGGGGCCTAAGGGCCTGCCAGACAGGGTAATTAAGACATTTGTGTCCAGTAGATCAGAGGTTATGGGGGCTGTTTATGGAAAACGTCAAAGGTATTTTCAGCTTGGTGTAAAGAGGCAAGCATCTATGAATATTTCCTGTCTTAGATTTCCTACAGTACAGAGTAAACCAGGAGTTGGCAGTCAGCACTCTAAAAGTTCAGATATCTGCCCTCAACATGTTTGTGGAAAAAAGGCAAGCGGTTGATTCTTTGATATGCTGGTTTCTCTATTGTTAGTTTTTAGGGACTCTGTTCTGATGAATTCTAAGACATAGGGTTATGCTGCTGTCTTCTGGAGAAATGATGTAAGAAATTGCTTGTGTGTTACCCTAGATCTTACAAAAAGCATTAGAAATTTGTAAGCCCTCTTAAAGCGGACCTTTACCCCCTTTCCCTAAAAATCACATCAACATGTTGCTCTGCATGTTAATTTAAAACCATCTTACATTCATTAGTTAAACTTTTTTTCATTTACTTGAAAATAGCGTTCATCTACTTCCTTGTACAGTTCTGGCACAAATGATGTAATGTGCCAAAGCATTGCATGTTTGGAAGATTACATCAGCAGAGCATTGCTGGGAGTGCTCATCTGTAATCTCATGGGATCTCAGGGAAAGGCATGTTCCTCCCCTGAGATGATGTGCATGGTCACATGTCTAGTCATATGTGCCAGAAATCCAGGAAGTAAATGGAGATCTAGTAATCTGCCCTTAGTAAACATGGCCACTGCCAGAAGACTGGGAAAGCAAAGGGAAATAAGGTATGCAAAAAATACAAATCCAGCAATAATCTTCAAGTATCTGTAGATTGTCGTCATTACTAAACATTTCTTAAGGTGTGTTTGTTGTTATTTTAAAGATATGGTTAAAGAGCTGCTTTAATACTGCACTTGGGCAAAATGAAAGGCCATCATGCTTCAATGAATACCATTGCTATTTATGGATTAAGCAAGCTGTCAAAACATATTCGGCCATGGGAGGAAATGGGTAGACAGGAAGCAGAGTAGGGCTGAGTTCTTCAGTGGTGTTTTTTTGTTTGTTTAAATCCAGAAATGATTGTAGCACAACAGTCCACCCCACTCCCTTTTGTCTGTTATTTGGTGATCGTGGGATGCCCTCCTCAGAAGCTTCTCACAGCCACGAGTACAATTCAAATGTGTCTTGGAAATGTGAAACTTATTGGTGACGGAGAAGGGGGAAGTATATTCCCTGTAACGTTCCTAACATGTAGAGTCCTGTGTGCGCTTATTAAGGAGAGGGTTACACAGAACTCTGATTATGGTAAACTGTACTTTCTATCTTCAGTGCCTTTTGCAGTGTTTACTGCATAACATTAGTATGTCACTGAATGTGTTTTTTTTTCTCGCCTGAAATTAATCTTTATATTACCCTCTGGGAGACCAGGTCCTGAAACCTTGTATTGCATTTTGTATAATATTTCTTTTTAAGGGCTTTGTACAGAGCAGGGATGCACCGATACTAGTATCGGTATCGGTGCCGATACCGAGTATTTGGGTGAGTACTCGCCCAAATGCTCTGATACCTAGCACGAGTACTTCCTGTATCAGGAAGCCGGGCATCATTACACGCTGCCCGGTTTCCTTGGACGCCAGGAAACGGCTCCATGCTCTCTCGTCACTTGTGATGAGAGAGCATGGAGCCGACTTCCCGGCCAATCAGGAAACCGGGTAGCGTGCAATGACGCGCTGCCAGTCTTCCCAATTGGTCAGGAAGCTAGCAAATCCGGAAGCCGGGCGCCGTGTAATGACGCAGCGCCCGGCATTCTGATTGGCCGGGAAGCCGGCGTCATGCTCCCCCGTCATCTCATTAATCATAATATTAAGAAAGTGACCTTAAAGCATTAGTTTGTATTGCTTTAAAAAAATGTGACCTGTCCCTTTAAGAAAAAGTATCGGTAATTGGTATCTGCGAGTACTTGATCAAAAGTATCGGTACTCGGTCTTAAAAAAGTGGTATCGGTGCATCCCTAGTACAGAGTCTTGGGTCCTTTCACCCAACTTAAAGCTGAACTCTGGGATAAGTATATATTGTCCAAATACGAGGCATCTATAATAGTGCTTAAATCCTGGTGTGCTTTGTGTATTTCTCTCCGATCTTTGTCGTGATCCAGTTTGAAACTTTGCCTCTGTGCAGAAGCTTCATGTAATAAGGACCAGTCGCTGCTGCTTTCTGTCCTTGTACAGGGTGACTGGTCTTGTATACTCCCCACTTCTGTAGTTTTCTGCAAGCAGTCTGAAGTAGGTGGGTCCTTCCCACAGCTCTGCTCTTTGCATAGGCTTTTGTGCAGCACAGTGATGGTGTCTCCTTTACATTCACAAAGTAATATCTGGGTTTATAAAGGCATTTCTTGCAAACAAAGTGGATTTAATGTTCTTGGTAGCTACTAAAGAATAAATAGAAGTTATTTTGCCTGGAGTTCAGCTTTAATAGTTTACATTTATGTGTTTTGGACTATTTATTTAATCCCTTCTACTCTTACAGAAAGCGGCATAGAAATGAAAGCAGTCCAAGTCCACGTCCGTCTCCAAAGCGTCGTAGAGAACATTCTCCAGAGAGCGATACTTACAACAGCGGTGATGAGAAGAGTAAGAATGTATAGATCTTAACAAAAAACTGTTTGTTTTCTATAAAATTGGATTTTAATGAATCTTTCTTGTCGGATGTAGCGGACTCCAAAGCTGCATCCTTAATTGGGGTTCAAGCCTGTGCCATTATGCAAGCAGTCTGCGCAGTAACTACCAGATATACTCTGCAGAGAGGTCATTTACTGCAGCACCTTCAGGCTTATTAGTCATAGATTCTGTTTTTTTATGAGAAATTTTCTCCATCTGGAGAAACGAATCAATGTTTAGACATAGTTGATGCATAATAGACGTAGGCTTTTGAGGTTTCTTAGGCAAACCTTGCATTAGCTTTGAAATGAAAAAAGCTACTGCAACGTTTGCAGTATTTTTTTCATTTCAGTTAGGGCTCTAAATTTCTGGAAGTTTTTGCTAAAAATTAAATCAGTTGCTGAATAACAAACTGACTATGGTGTTTGTAGGATATAATGGTGGACAAAGGGATATGAAAGTTTTACCTGCTTGTTTTCAGAAACCTCAGAAGTTTTATTTTGTTTGGGGGTCCTGCTGATCCAGGGGTGCACATTTTGTATCGCCCAACGCCCTGGACATGCGTTTCTGGGTGTCGGGCAGGTGTTTTTCTTTTATTTATCCTTGCTGTGGCCAAGCCAGCTATCTGGGCAAGTTGTACAGCCACCCAGATAACTTGTAAGTGGCCTGCTTGTCACTCCCCCCACCCTCTCCTCCTCATTCCATGGTCTGTGTCGCCCCACCCATGGTCCATCCTCCCCGCTGTGGTTTTTGTGGTCTCCCGCTCCTCTGGGGGACCTGGGACCACAGCAAATTACTTTAGGATGGAGAGCGGGGAGCAGACCGGAGAACATCTGTTCTCAGATATGCTCTGTGTGAATAGTGAGACAGGAGCACTGTGCTCATAGACTCAGCTGCACAGGAGATCGAGCACAATGCTGTGCTCAAACTCCTGCATTGGAGGTGATTGGTTCCATAAAGAGAACCTGTCACCTCTGAATGCTATCACAGCCAAAAAATTAAAACCAATTAAGTGCTGCCCCCATTTCACTGTGTGCCATATTGTGGTAGCAGGGCAGCAGCGCTCTCTAACACGCACAATGTGCATGAAAGGGTAAGTTCACTTTCCCAAGTAATTTGGAAAAATGGAACTACCCACTCAAATCAGGCCCTCTCTCCCCTACCCCCCTGCTATAGATACCTTTCAGTGAATTATCCTTCCCTTCCCTCAGTACGGGTGTACTATCTGTACCCCATACTGCCGTCTGTGCCATGGATTTTGATTTTTGCTCGCAAATTGCGAGCACTCGTTGGTGTCACCTGACTGCGCTGACCAATGAGAAGCACTTCTTAGCACGGTAAAATACAATTAAATACGGTTTTGGTTAAAATTAAGTAGATTGGGCCCCTGCTTTTAGTCCTTAGACAAGAAGTTTTTTTAAACATTTCCTCACCCCTGTGATCTTCCACATTGAGAGTGCAGTAGATCCAGGAGATGGACCTTCCCAGCAGATTTCCGGGGGCTGTTGCATTTGAACAGAGCATTGTTGAGTGATTTGGGTGGCAGGAAAAAAAAAAGTATGGAGCTCTTGTTTTTTTAGGGTATTTGATTTGCCTGGATTAAAATTATTACAACTAAAAAAAAACCAAAAAACTTTAACCACTTGCTGACCGGGGGGGTTTACACCCCCTTCCTGTCAAGGCCATTTTTCAGTGTTTAGCGCTGCGGTACGTTGACTTGACATTTATTCCGTCATGCAATGCTGTACTGAAATGAATTTTATACCATTTTTTTGGGACAGATAGAGCTTTTATTTGGTGGTATTTAATCACCACTACGGGTTTTTATTTTTTACTATATAATGAAAAAAGTACAGAAAATTTCGGGGAAAAAAAAAACTTTTCCCTTCGTTGTTATAAAACTATTATTATTACCCACATTTTTGGCAAAATATAAAAGACTGGGTCACGTCGGTTAAATAGACACCAAACATGTCAAGCTTTAAAATTGTGTGCGCCCGCAAACTAGCAAAAACTACCAGACCCAAAATTGGCCATAGGCGACGCTTTAAAAGCTTTTACTAAACTTTCTAAAACTCATCAGTTTAGTGTTATCAGTAATTGATGTCCCTAAAATTATTGCTCTCACTGCGACGTTTGTGGCGATATGTAACATGTGCGGCGTAATGGATGCAATCGTCGTTTTCCGCACGTAGGCACACGACGCATGTTTGCATGTGTTTGTGGGGGGCGGGGGACTTAAACATTTTTTACAATTTTTTATTACCTTTTTATGTGACTTTTTCTTTTTTTTTTTTTTAACATGCTTTTAAACCTTTTTTTCACTAAGCTTTATTGCTATCACATAGGGGACTAACAAGCCCCCTTTGTGATAGCCAATTTTCAGTGTCGGGTCCTCTTTATGGAGACATCAGGGGTCTTTAAGACCCCCTAATGTCATCTAGGGACCCCCAGAGAAGCTGATGAAGCTTCTCTCCGGTTTCTGTACCGGAGAGTGACACTGAATGCAGGAAGTGATGTAATACACATCACTTCCTGCATGCCAAAGAGGAGATCAAACAGAGCTCGTGTGCTGAGCTCCGTTTGATTTCCGGCCGCAGAGCTGCTGTGCTTGCACCGGGCACAGCGGAGCTCGAGATCGCCAGCAGCGGCTGCAACGGGGGGGACGGGCGGGCGGGGGGGGGGGGGGGGGGGGGGGGGGGCGCACACCCGCACACATTACAAGCGATCGGGCGTCTCTACAGACGCCAGAACGCTTGTGTGTAAACAGCCATCGCTGTCTGTTTACATTCCAGGCTTATTTCTCGCTTGTGCGCGCCGCCTCGTGGCGGGCAAGAGCGGGGCGGGATGGGACGTTTAAAAACGCCCACCCGCATTCAAGAAGCCGCTGTACGACCATTTAATTAAAACGGCCGGACAGCATGTGGTTAATAAGCCTAGATTATTCCTGCAAACTTACAATAGCATTAGGCAGACACTTATCTCTGTCCTGTCTGCCGCGGCACCACTTGCTTTGTGTCTAGTTGTGAACAGGGTCCCTGAAGTACTGAATGGAGCCAAGTGCCTCCACAACACATATGTGCTCTTTGCTTGCTTGTTTTATTTAATTTATTTTCAGTACTAGGGGATTCTGTTCCCTGTGAAAGCAATAGAGATGTTTGAGTGTTATGCAGCCATGTTGGTGGAGGTTGGGGTTTTAAATGTAATTAACAATTTCGAGTAATAGTGTGCAGAGCAGCATGATACCAGTTTTGACAAACAGTTGGGACATTTACTTTCAAAAAAGTGTTTTCATACCTAAATGTTTAATATTTAAAGAACCATTACTGTAAAATGTTTGATTTTCCAATATCCTTCTTTTCTGGTACCTAGCTGTCTGTTTTGATGTGTCAGACTCCTTCACCTTGCTGGACAATTTTTAGCATGCGAGAATGGTGGAGATTAGTGGGCTAACATATAGGACTGTTGGATCTTCACACTTGGAATGCTGTTTGTCTTTTGCTCGTAACTAAATCATTTTGTTTTTAAGGACTTTATTTTTATTTTTTTCTTAATCAGATGAGAAACATAGGCTGCTAAGTCAAGTTGTCCGACCCCAAGAATCTCGTGCTCTAAGCCCTGCACATGTTTCTGAAGAAAGACCATCTCGCTGGAAAGAAGATGAACGCAAGCCTGATAGAAAAGAGGTTTCCAGGCGATTTGAGGAGCCAGAAGTCAAAGAGCGAGTATCTGCATCAGAAAAACTGAGAGAGCACTTGGTGGTAGATACTGAAAGCTCAAAGACAAAAGACATTGATAGCACAATGCAACATAAGCAAGAAGAAAGAGAGGTTTCTGATAAACTGCATGATGACAAAACCAAGAAGAAAATGCTAAAGAAAACTGTAAAGAAAAAAAAAGATGAAGAGATTGTAGCTGAAAAAAGTATTGTTGAATCTCCAAAAGAAGAAGTGAAAGTCTTTTCACCCAAGAAGGTTCAAAAAAAGAAGAATCTGGAGAAGAAGCGAAAGAAGGGCGATTCTGAGGTCTCTGATGAAGAACTTGTGCAACCCGGTAAGAAAAAGAAGGGCCCCAGGACACCACCAGTTATAGTGGCTCCAGTTCCTGCAGTTGCAGCAGCAGCAGCTCCAAAAGAGGAACTTCCTGAGGTGTTGCCAGAAAAATTGCCTGCTGAACCCATCCAAACCACATTCAGTGACTGGTCAGATGAGGATGTACCAGAAAGAAATGAAGCTATAATTCCAGATAAAATCACAGAGGAGCCTATCAAAAAGCCAGCGAAACTCAAAGTGGAGAAAGAGGATTCCAGACCTACACCTGTGGATGAGCCACCAATTCGTAAGATTGCTGAACAGAAACGTAGCAGTAGTATATCTAGTAACCAAAGTCGCACCTCCAGCCGCATCCGATCTCCGTCTATTGACTCTGTTCACCGCAGTGGAGATGATCCCGCTGCCAGAAGGAAATTGTTACACGCAGGCTCTAAAGACAGAGAACGAACCAAAAGCAATGAGCCCTCTGGGGAACGCAAGTCTAGAATTGATCAGCTTAAAAGGGGAGAACCCAGCCGCAGCACTTCATCAGGTAGATCCCTTATTTCTTTCCTTAACTGTTGTGTTTAACTGAACAGCCTAGCATACGTCAGTCAAGCACATCTGTTTTGCCTTTTATTCATCAGCCTTCTGTGTATCTCAATTAATCTTGCTGTCTTCAATATTTTTTTTTTCATAAGAGTAGTGAGAAATAATTCTGACTCTAAAAAGAACACAAGTATTTGTTAAATAGTCACTTCACCCAGATCTGTCATTTTAGTTAATGGGAGTTTGTAGCTGAATTGCCCACTGGATTCTAATTCCTTTTAGGGATCAAATGCATGATTCCCTGCTGGAATTCTAAATTTACCTTTCTCAGCCATTGAGACCTTGCTGTTTGAGTCCCTGATTGTACAAGAGCTTGCGAGTGATTCTTCCGACCAGTACGTATGCCTGACTGAGATACCAGTTCTCGGTGTACTGACCCTCCAGTATGTAAAACCTGTTATAAATGGAAATATGTTCTTCAAGGAAACATGAGCTACAAAGTAGTATTGTAAGCACCTTGTTCTGGTATAACAAGGCGATAGACTGTATTTTCCAGTAGATTATGTATTGGTAAACCTCTGGCTCATGTTAAAATGCTTATGATCGTTTCCTGATGTTAAGTATATAATTGTAAAGCTCTAACTTGTGCATTCCACATACAGGACATGCGGTCGCGTTGCAGCCACACATCTCAACACGGCATCCAGGTGTGTAGTACCTCACTAGGCCACTAGGGAGAGCATTGCACATGGACAAAAAACTCCATGTGGGCCTTGTAGATTATACAAATATAATACTTTGTTTATCATACCCTAATGTCTAAATATGTGCCTAAAATAATGCTAAAATATGCTTAAACAATTTATTATCAATACCTTTTAAATGTTTAATGATGTGCCTGAATTAATGGCCACAATAAAGTACTTGACATCGGTAGTAAGTGCATTTTTAGTAACCATTATCTGTATTGGACTTGCTCAGAAAAGGTTTTAATAGTTTGGTGGTCAGTGGCTGTGAAGTGATCTACAGTTTTCGAAAGCTATCTGAAGGTGCAGATTGCTTGTGTTACTACAGAGTAATTAGGAGGCTTCTAGGGAAAGGAATGAAGCAGTGTGGTATTTTACACCATGCTTGGACTTTTTGCAATGTTTGGATTTCTTTCTTTTCCATTGAAAGACATTGAAAGTGTTTAACCTTTGGGTTATGCTACTGCCTTCAGGATACTTGAACACTGGTTAATGAAAAAACTATCCTGAAAATCCTACTACCACAAGCATGCCTTAGTTTTTTTGTTTTTGCTAGTGTTCTTGGAGAATAGACATCTGCTTTAGCTCTGTTAAAGACTAACCTATGTTTGCTAGCACTTTTTTAACTTCAATTATTTTTCCTAAATCAAAACTCTTCTCTACATTGCTCCCTGAGCTTTATCTCTTCAATTACAGCTATCTAGTATGGTTATCCTCAATCTGGCTTTTGGCGCACTGCGCCTGTACCCCGCTGGACTGCCTGTTGCAGGGATTTAGCACGGCCAGGAGTTTTACTGCCTTGCCGCCTCCTGTGTCTCACCTCCAACCTTTCTGTGTCTGTGCATAGATTAGCAGATCTCCACCGAACCTTTTTGGGTTTTCTCAATCAAAGTGTCATTGACTCTGTTCCTGTGGTAGAATGGTTTCAGGAGTTTGTTTTTTTTCCAACCTAATCACCGTTCCCAAACTCCTGGGTTTCTTTCATCTTGGTTCTCAAAGTTTTGAATGTCTGCATTCGCATCCAAAAATTTGCATGAAAATCTACCAAACCTGGCATCGCCTCTTTTTTTACCAGGGGAATCTTCTGACGTCTGTGGACATTGAGGATTCCTGCCTTAGGTCCCATCTTTCCAACGCATCATCGATTCCTGCACTTTGCTATGGGATCCCAGCACTACCAGTTTGTGGCCTTGTCCTTCGGCCTCTTGTCCGGACTTCAGGTATTCCCTAAGGTGTTGGCTCCAGTATTAGAATATTAGATGGGCCAGGTATAAGCAGAAAACAAAATAATGTGCTGTATAACCGTAATAGGGACTTCCTTACAACTCCCCAATCTATAGTAAGTGATTGTATAAGTTAGAACACCAGACTAATATTGTTAGAGTAGCAAAATGTGATGTAGTACAGTACCAGTAACACCAAGACGCCCAGAAGTTAAAACGGGTATCCTTTGTAGCAGAGGACCAGGTTGTCCCTAGCTTGGTGGGTAAGAAATAAAGCCCTGGAGTCAGAACCCTTACCATGGATGCTAACCTGTTGGACTGGTAAGGAGTCCTGGGCACCCTGTCAGTGGAATCTCATCCCCCGATCAACGTCCTGAAACTTGTGTTATTTGGCTCTGTCTGCAGTGTTGGGCCTTTCTTCTAGAGGGTCATCCCATCTGGATTTAGCCAGACAACACAGACATACTTCCCTTCGTGTGGGGCTTGGACGTCCACCCCAGCATTTTCTTTCTACAGCTGGATCTGGATCAGTGTTGTGCTCAGCACTATTAAGGGTTAGATTACTGTTTTTGCTGGGTTTTTTTTTTTTTTTTTTTTGGCCTCTTGGCCTCTCACTTCCTGATGAAGCCCATTAAAGACTTTCTCTACTCTCACCCACAAGGGTGTTTTTTCTTGTAGCCATCACCTTTGCAAGTGTCTGAATTGGCCACCTAATCCTGCAAAAAAACCTTGGATTTGCAAGGATGGTGTTGAGCACAGATCCTTATTACCAAAAGTAGTCCCTTCGGCAAATGTGTGCTATAGTTCACCAAAATTACATTTCCCTCCCATTGTTTTGTTTATGGTTTTGGGATGTGCGCGCTTTGCCATTCTTAATTGCCCCTGATAGGGTGCACTGCCTTCTCATTACACCACTTATGGTCTCACCCTTTCCTGCCAAGGCACACTACTATTTCTGTGAGCATTTCTTGGACTTTTTGTCTTCCAGCAACTGTTTCCCAGATTTGCAAGGCTGCAACCTGTTTTTTTTTGTTTTAAATTCTACCAAGTGGACGTTGCAGCCTTTTCTAATGCCAGCGTTGGAGGTAAGGTCCTTCTTCAGGCAGCTCTTTGAGCTGCAGGCAGTGCCCAGTACTATTGTTTTCTTGGGCCTCTTTCCTGTGTTGCCCACCCATCAGTTGTACTGTTTTTGGATGACTCGAAGGTTAAAGATTTCCCGGGTTCCTCAATGGACGAAAAGGATTTTTATACCAACTGTGAAATCCATTGAGGGACACAGATCCCCGCTATCTGATTTTATAATCATGCTTTCTGTACTGTTTTGCTACACTAATGAGGCATGCTGCTTGTAGGGGCGGTTATCCTGGACTGGCCTACATTTTCTTTTGTTTGCCAATCCAATCCTCCTGTAGGCGACAGTAAAGCATGAAGGTAAAAAACTTCCTGTCTCTCTCTAGGGACTTCAAGAAAAAGATTTTATTGTGGGTTCAAAAATCTTATTTTCTTGGGCATGCCTGTTAAACTGTTACACTGGACCTATTCATATTACTGTATTTTTCGCTCCATAAGACGCACTTTTTTTCCCCCCAAAAGGAGGGGGAAAATGTGCCTGTGTCTTATGGAGCGAATCCCGACGCCCGAGACATGCAGTTTCGGGCGCCGTCGAGTAGTAGGAGCCACTGCTCGTTTAATACGAGTGATCTAATGAGATCACTTGTATTAAAACCGAGCGGCGGCGGCGATCAAGTTCAGCAGCAGGAGCCACTGCTCGTTCAATACGAGTGATCTAATGAGATCACTCGTATTAAAACCGAGCAGCGGCGACGATCGAGATCACCATAGAGCAGACGAAGAACGGACGTTCTTCGTCTGCTCTGTGTGATCACTGAGACCGTGGCGCTGTAATCACAGTGCCACCTGTCTCAGCGGTCACTAACTGCAGCTTCTGTCACAGCTTCTGTCATAGAAGCTGTGTCAGAAGCTACAGTCTGTCGAGTGCTCCATAAGGCGCGCCGGACCTCCCTGCGTCCTATGGTCCGGTGCGTCTTATGGGCCGCAAAATACGGTACTTACTCTTGTTACAATGGAGAGAACCTATTTTAAAAGGTCTATTTGTGAGGTTGATCACCAATGGATAAAAGTACCTGTAAATCTAGTGGGGATAAAACACGCGCGCGCACACATGCACGTACGTCCCTTTTTAGGATTTCAATTGAGCAGTGGTGTCTCCAGTCATGTTCCGGAGAAGAGGACTGGTAATGCAGGTAACACCCTTTAGTATGGAGCTAAACAGTGGTATTGTGTGGAGTGGAGAATGTCAGAGGCCTTCTTACCAAAATCCTGGAAAAATGTCTAATCATATTAAATCAAAATTCACTAATAGTTTAGCAGAGTGATTAAATATAATAACATACAAGTTAATCTGTTAAGATTAATAGAGTCAATCTAAGGAAAGGCGTCTCCTCCAGAATAGTTTTCTTTATGCATTTTAATTTAGCAATCCAGTTTAAAGTTTTGTATATTTTAATTTTTCTAATGAAATGTTTTAGAAGGCTTCCATTTCCTGTGTGCTTTACATTTATTGCTAACAGATGGTACTAACCCCCTCATACAGGTCTGCTTTCTGGATTGGGAGTCATTTTAGCATACGGTTTGCACATTGTCATGGGCTCAGGTAATCCTGTAAATAATGGAGCAAGAGCGCAGCCCCGGTAAACTGTTGTTTGTTTCTCACAGTGATATGCATGTGGAGTTGAACCGAAAGTTAAGTAATGTTTGTTCTGTTCATAGATTGCGGGGACTCTCGGAGTCATAGCTCTCGAAGAAGTTCACCCGATTCTGATCGTCAGGTACATTCAAGATCTGGATCGTTTGACAGCCGTGAAAGAGCCCCTGACAGAGATCGATACGAGCATGATCGGGAAAGAGACCGTGACAAGGACCGTGATCGTGAAAGGAGGGATGTTAGGCCACGAGACTGGGATAGAGAAGCTGATAAAGACTGGCTAAGAAATAGAGATCGAATAAGAGATCGTGAGAGAGACCGAGAAAGAGACAGAAGGCGAGATGTGGAAAGAGAGAGAGAGAAAATAATTCCTGACAGTATGGAGAAGGAAAGAACTAAATTTACTGATGTCCCCACAACGACAGAACAGAAACGAAGTGACATTAAAGAGAGGGACAATGACAAAGGCTTTGAGTCTTCCAGCCGAAACAACTCTTCTCTGGACAAAGGGGATAGAGACACTGAAAACGCACAAGATGTAATTGCTAGTCGTAAAACCGAAAAACCTGAAAATGTTGAAGGTAAGTTCAAATATCAATTTAGAAGATTGAAAGGATGTTTGTGAACCAATATTCTGTCATTTCAGTGTATAAAGGAAAATGCATAAAGCAGTAAAAAAAAAAAAAATAACAATCTAATTTAGATAAATCTAAAATTCCTTGGGACCCAGATGAGACGCCTGTAGTGTAGTAGAGGAAGGAAAAAAGATAAACACGGATAGAAGAAATCAGCTAGTCAGAGGGGAGTAAGGACAGGTAGCATGAGAAGTGAAAATGGAGGAGGGAAATGCAGGGATTTATTCACTTGGCTGACCAAATTGTCCTACAAGGAAAGCATAATACTTTTAGATATTTGCTCAAAACTAGGTGGATTATACACAGATTATCGACCCAAGGCTCCCAGCTCTTAGAAATTGTCAAATGTAAAATGTGACTTGAAAGTAAGCTGTACGGAATGACGGCCAACAAAAATGTATCTGTTCTGCCTAAGAAATGATTTAAGAACTGGACCTCTTGGCATTTATATTTCCAGTTGTCTCAATCCCCCCCACACCCCCCAAATTTTAAGTATAAGCTAATCAAGCAGTAAAACGGGTGTTACGAGTAGATATCGGGTGCCCTATAGGTTAGACTGAGCGAACATGGGGATGATGTATAAACTCAATATAAATGCAAAAGTGCTACCTCTTTGGCTACCATTTTTTAATTGTTTTATAACCCACAGGAGACCAGTCCTCTAAGCTTGTTGAGGATCATTCTGATGATTCTGTGGCTGGGGAAGAGTATGAGCCAATCAGTGATGATGAGCTGGATGAGATTCTAGCTGATGATGCTGAAAAGAAGGAAGACCAGCAGGATGATGAAAAGATATCTGGTAATTTAGTTGTGCAAGTATGTGCATGTTTTGGTGCAAAGCCTTTACCACTCTTAAGTAAAAAAAACTAAAAACACATGGCTTGCAAATGTGAACATTTTGTAGTTTATATGATTGACATTTAATATCTAATATATACTGTACTTTTGATTATGTTGAAATGGATTGTTGTCTTTTTGTACAGATCCTTTGGCTCTAATTGATGTAGACTGGTCTAGTCTAATGCCCAAACAGGCAAAGGAACCTCGTGAATCTGGTGCTGCCCTCTTGAAATTCACACCTGGTGCTGTGTTACTACGTGTTGGTGTTTCAAAACGTTTAGCTGGGCTTGACCTGTTCAGTAAAGTGAAAGAAACCTGCCAGCAAGCTGTAGAGAAACCTCGTGGCAAGTATTATTTTTTTATTTTTACTTTTTAAGCTCGACTCTTGGCACTTCATAAATTTTAAACATTGTATGCCCTTAACTTATCCATAATATGATACTTGTTTTCTCCTGTCAATGATCTAAAAGAAAAATACTTGCCGTACCCCAGAGTCTTGCAGCAGCCAGTGCTCCAGTCGTGTTCACGCCCACCTGCAATATGGGTGTGCATTCAATGCCATCATGTACAATGATGGCCCCTGGTCCTGCTTTGTACATCATGATGCATATGAGAGGGATGGGACACAAAGAGTCTTGAGACTGGCAAAAGGGGCTTCGTTGGACTAGTTCTCACTTACCAGAGCTGGTGTGCAGCACCATGGAATAATTCTGCGTTAGATAAGCCCCTTGATGAGATTAGTACAATATATTTAATCAGGGGGTGGAACGTTTTATAATGGAAATGTGTTACTATGTGCCTTGTTCGCCCCACAATGTGTTTTTGATGTGTGATGCTGCTCTATTTGTGTTTTTGGTACTAATTGAATAACTCTAATTTATTTAGAAGCAGAAAACTTGTTTGAACATGAGCTGGGAGCTCTAAACATGGCTGCGCTGCTCAGGAGGAGGGAGAGAGCTGGCTTACTAAGTAATCTTGGGCCCTGCTGTAAAGCTCTGTGTTCTCGAAGGGACTTGACGATTCGCAAGCAACTTGTACAAAATGAAAAGGTAAGGAATTATGATTGTTTTATATAGATATAAAAACAGATGTACATTTTACACAGATGTAAAAATACAAGTGTTCTGCATGTCTAAGGTAATTGCACATGTACTACCGACAAAGCAAAAACAAAATGTGTGTGTTTATATATGTATATATATATATACAATACTGCTGACTTGAAGAAGAGGTTAACTCTCGAAAGCTTGTCTCTTATACATTTTGTTAGTCCAATAAGAAAGGTATCATCGCATACTACAATACTCAGTTTTGGTTTTATCACATTTTCTCTAGTGGACTAATAGGGCTTACCCATTTGCATTAATATATAT